GTCGATGACTCATCGAAAAAACGGGTATTTTTCACTTTTGACCCACGTAACTCAGTTAGTTGACGGCATATTGTTACGAAATTTTTATGGTAGTGTGGCTAGGGTCTGAGATAGAGAATAAAAAAAACTTTGAAAATCCATTCACAACAACGGTGTTAGTAGCAAAAATACTTCAAAAATGTCATTATACAAAAAAGTTGCAATTGACTCATATACAGAGAGCCGTTACATATTGACCAAAACAACTGTTAAATGACAATGAGTCATAATTATATTAGATTTTTTCAAAATAGTTTTTAATGTACCGTATTGATCCAAAAAAATTGAATTGATTGAGAAAAAAACCACTATAAAAAAAGTTTCTAATAATAAATACCCGACTCGTACGTTTGATAGAGCTATGTCGATTGTGTTTAAATATAATATTTTCCCTGCACTTTAGAGTTTGGTAAGTCTCTTATGCAAGGATTTTCAAGAACTACTCAGTCCGTGGTGCAATCGTTTTTAGAAAACGATATTATCGTGAGAAAAGCTTAGCGTTTTGTTAAAATAAAAGACAACGTATAGATCCCAGAAATTTTTTGTGATTTCATGGGAATAGCGCAGGTTTAGCGAATCTTCAGGTATATGACGAGTCGGAATTCGAAGTTATTTTAGTCGAAATATATAGACAAAATAATCTCGGTAGACATATTTTAGAAAAAACATTTCGGTGGATATTTTCGATGTATTTCATATAAAATAGGTTTCCAGTAGGTTTTTTAACTATTGAATCTTTGTTTAAGGTGAAAAATTTTATGATAGAAATTAAGAATAAAATCACCTTTTTCATGTGAAATGACTGATTTCAAAATAAGACGTTTCGTCTTTATTCTAAAGACATCATCAGTTAAACTGATATGCAAAAGTGAATTCAAACATAAAAATAACACGCGTACAGAACAACAAAATATTTTAACTTCTTAATGTTGAAGTCTCTCCCTTATATATCATATGTGGTGTGATTCACCCTAAAAAACGTTCAACATGAAAGTCTTTTGACTTTTTTAACCTTTTTGAAAAACAAATGTTGCCAATGGTCGATTCCCTATGTTTGCATTTGTTGTCGGAATTCCCACATCTCAAGAAATAGTGATCGTGGGACTCTCAGACAATCCGATGCCACGTCTAAATCACGAAAAATTAAGAATTCGCTTAGTTTCTGTTTTAAAGAGGACACTTTGGACTATCTATCTACGAAAAAAGATTGACCTATTTCTATGTTAGTTTTCTTAGATCTAAACTAGTTTTCCAAAGATCTACTCAAAAACTGGTTTCAAAAGTCTTTTAAAAAATCTGTGGAACACTAGCCTCAGGTGTCTGTTTTCGATTGCTGAAAACCGCAGCGTTCGACCTTACGCTGTTATTGAGTTATTAAAAAAACGGTAACCTGCTCTGCATTTTGGCGTTGATAGTGATCTATCTACTGGACTCCTGCAGGACAGTCCCGAATCCCATCCCGTCTGTCCCGCCACGTGACGGGACAGACGGGATCGGGCAAAAAAAATTTAAGGGTTTCAGCTCTTGGGCTAGGGAAAAATTATATTTTTCTGGGTTTAGGCTTACGGACTCGGGACAAAAGGAAAAAATCACGTCTCTTATCTAGCTCTAGCAGATGTATTATTTATCGGTTTAAATCTACGGGCTAAACGATGCGTGGTTTTATTTTTCGGGGCGAAATAATTTTTCCGTGGGGTCGGACTCGAGCTAAAGAAAAATTTTACAAGTTTGGGCTTACGGACTCTAGGCAACAAAAAAGTTTGCCCCGCAGGAGTCTACTGTCTACATATGAGACTCTTCTCAATACTCACGTGGCAAAAAGGTGTCGATTAGAAGAAAAATATTAGTTCAAATTTCAGCAGGATTATATTTTTGGACTTTTAAAAACTGACAATTTATTTTGAATACACGTCATAGAATACTTGAGCTAATCGTTTATAACCGTCTGACGATGGATGAAAACCATCAAATGAGATGTATTCCGGATGTCGTTCGAGTTCCTTCCAATGCGCGAATAAATTAACTAATTTACAATTATTGGATTTGACAACATCCGATATTACTTTATTCCATTCAGTTACACGAGAACTTAGTACAGGAGTTGGGATACCTAAAACAGACGAAGATAAAATATTTAAAAGAAAACAGTACATACTATTGTTGGTCTAAGAAGCACTTTCTATCGTAATTAGCAAGCAAAACATATCGCCGTAATAGAAGATCGTCCCTCAGAATTTAACTTACCGGACAAAATAGAAGGCCAGATGATCTTTTATTCTGGAGATGGGGTGGGCGGCTGAGGATTTGTTGAAATAGTTTGGATTTTACGTAAAGTATTTTTTCTATACTTCTCTTCTAATACAGTCTGCAAAGAAACACGTTTTGTAATAAAATTACTTCACAAAACATTGATTAAAGTATCTTCGTAGGAAACCGTAAGAATGAAGTAGTTGGACAAAATCTTGTTGATAATTGCGATAAATAGAAACTACGACTGATAATGTAGATTTACCGCTAATGTTGGTAGTGTCCAATGATGTAGAAAATTTTCAAGTAAATACTTTGACCAACATTCGTCGCAGAAGTTTTAACCAAATAATTTTTTATAACTTTAGATTTTCTGAGCGAGATTGAAAACACAGTGAAACAGCAATGATGAGTTCCCGTTTTCTGCAAAAACAATCAGGACCTCTTCAGAATGGTAAATTACAACAGGAATAATGATCAGGAGTTAGCGTCATTGCAGACGCTGAATACTGTCTCTCTGATTAATTAGATTTTCTTACACTTTTCTACTGAATTATTGATGATTTTCCTTGAGTTTTCGAACTCCGTTACTTACTTACTCCAGGAAGGTGTTAAAAGCTATCAGATCAACGCAGATGTCTGTAGAAAATTGTTCGAAGGAAACTTAAACAATCAAAGAGTTTGATCCGGTTTCTAACCGGTCTGATCGCATCTTTGTCTGTAATACAAAAAATGGCCTGTTTTAGCTCTATTTTCTTACCTAAATTAGAATAAATCTTTACTTTGGATAAATCTGGAATATTTCCCACCAATACTTGGTTTGTATTTGACTTTAAGGATGATAACATGCGATTCAAACTTGTTTTGTATTGATCCAGTGTTACTTGACCGGTGACTTGTGCATTAAAATCATTGACAGCCAACCATATTGTGATGACACTATTTTCATCTGCTTTTTGTATAAGAGCTGTAGGGACCTGCTGTCTTAGAGCTTGAGCTACTGTCGAACCACTTACACCGAGATTAATTGTTTTAGCAGCATTTATTAATAAAGCAAATTGTGGTACCCAACCTTCAATTGATGGATTGCTTGTTCCAACACCGACAGAATCAGATGCACCCAACGCAATATATGTGAGACCACAGTTCGTTGAGGTAGGAGCGGTAGTTAAAGAACTCTTGGCTACATTACCCATTTGAATTGCCATAAATAAATATAAAGCATAAATTGACATATAAAAGTAATCTGAAAGAGAAAAAGAAAATTGGAGAATCTAAATCTTCTAAAATGCATAAATTATACATAAATATATTTTCTAAATTATTCCTTATTGTAGAATGAGTTCAATCATGACACTGTGAGATATTTCGTCATTAGCTATAGGCATCTGTTTAAGTGCTAAGTAAAAATATATAAATGCTAAGTTAATTTTTGCTAAGTAAACTTTGTGTTTGCTCAGTAAATAAATTGAGTGCTAATTGATAATGTTGAACGCTCAGTTAATTTATAGTTTCTCAGTAATAAAAATATTTGCTAAGTTAGATAACTAATATCTAAGGAAAATTTTTTTCTTGCTTAGTTAATAAATTGAAATCATAGTTACTAAACAAAATCGCTAAGTAAAAATTATTACTACTAAGTAGTTTCTAATAAAGACGAAGTACGATTATCTAAGATAGGATAAATTTTTTTATTATGGTATGGCGTACACATTTTCTCTATCTTTCTGTCTGTCAATATTGAACTATCACCGTGATACACGTGTATGTCGCCTATATTTTTCGTTCTCATGTCATGCGTGCATGCATACATTTTTTCTCCGAAGACACTCCAATACAATATGTTTTTTCTGTCTTCTGTTTCTTTCATATGTGATTTGTATTGGTTTTTCAAGATTGTTTTTTTTTAGAGTTTCCGATTTTCTATTAAGTTCCCACATGCATCGACCTTATTTTTGTATAAATACTTGCCATTGAAACTTTACTTCAAATTTATGGTGTAGTTGTGAGTGTAGATACAAGAATGTAATGTTTGTAAAACGAAAGCTTTTACTAACCCTTAGAACTTATATCGACAAAACTCTTCGTTAAAATTAAAGTTGTTGAGAACCCATTTTAATTGGTTCATGCACATAAGGATGTAAGTGGATACAGGTTTCGGATGTTTGTTATGTGAAAGTTAGTCTTCTTATCAAAAACATCCCTATTCTCAGACCCCATCACAATAGAAAATCAGACTATAGCATTGTTTCAGCTGCTTCAAAGAATACATTTGCAAATATATTATTGTATGGATATTAGGTTAAAGTTTTGGAAACCACCCCCACCAGCAGAGAATGTGCTACTGAGTGGAAAACGAAAAAGATGACGGCCCCAAAAGCTTTATTAATACAATAACTGTACAGTTAAAGTTTTTTACTTAGATATTTATGTCTCTTTACTTAGCAAAAACTATTTATTTACCTATTGATTTCTAATATTTTACTTAGAAAATCAAACTTATTTACTTAGAGTGTAAATAAAAAATTTAGCAAAAATGCTTGTTTTACTTAGATTTATGCTCAATAAATTACTTAGAAAAAATGGAATTTTTCACTTAGTTTTTATTAAAAATTACTTAGCACTTAAATAGATGCCTTAACTATATATGCAATGACAGCTCACTTAAAATGATTAAGACTAGGACCATCACTACAGATTTGCTTGTACAGAAAATTTTTCTTCAAAGACGAGACAGTCTGTTCAATATGTATAAATATTGCGAAGAAACATGCATTTAAAATTTAAGAGCGATTGAGACTTTTTACTATGAAAGGTAAGAAAACATAGATTTATTAACGACTCAACTTTCGTTAAACAAACATTCGGACAAGCATGTCTCGGCTGGGAATCGTACACAGAACATCGGTTAACAAGATACTATTGAACTATCAAAGCACTAGAGGTGGGTAAGTCACGGGTTTTCCAAATCACAAGTCAAGTCAAGTTTCGGGTTTTCCAAGTCAAGTCATGACTTTAAATTTTTTTCCGTAGAAAAATGCCTAAAGTGGAGCTGAGCAAGTTACAGGTTTTCTATGAGCTTCCGCTCTTTGTTTAGATACGATGTTTCCTTTTCGTATTTCAAAAGATAATCGTAAGAAAGATAATGCTCTAATGAGCCTAACATAGTTCATTTTATTCATATTATAACAGGTTTGGACTCGACTGAGATACAATCCATATTTTAATCAAGTATCTCAGTTGAGAAACCATTATTTCTGCGAAAATATTCGTTTTTCGACTGAGATACAATTTTGATACGTGCGTTGAAACGCGCAATTGTGCAAGAGTGCAGTGTACAAACGTCTATTACTCCTCCCCTCAATAATAGAAGATCACTATCGATTATACGACCTGAAAACCAAACAGAAGACCATGGTCTTCTAACTCCTGGAAGACCACTGGTCCACTACTAGGTCTGCAAAAAAAATCGGAAAATGCCCTATACCTACCTATAGAGGAATTTTCAAAAACATTGGGCCAAAACGTACTTCTAATAGGGGATGGACTTCAAGTACGTGGGGGTTACCGTTGCACTACTAGCAAGCGACAAAATTTGACCGCAATAGAAGATCACTCTTTAGAACTCGACTTGCGAGACAAAATAGAAGACCACCGGGTCTCCTATTATGGGGGGCGGGAGGGTATTCAATAGTGAATGAAATGAAATCAGGTATACGATGTATCTCTACTGACTATCTAAGAAATTAACCCCACATTACAATATTACCATGTATTAAATTACTATCGAATAATCGCATGTATGCAAAAAATGTAACAACAAAATCAGTTCTTATTCATTGCTCTCTACATCATCCACGTCTTATGTCTGAATCACGAGCTTTGTGAAAAACGTCTAAGTATACAAAATGGCGTGAAAAGTCGCTGTAATTCTTGTAGATTTTGTACAGCTATTGAATAATAGACCTTTGCACACTGCACTCTCGCACGACTGCACGTTTCAAAACTGTATCTCACGAGGGAACCTCTTGAGGTTATAAATCGCTTTTGAACTCGGACTACTTGTATCTTGTAGACCTCAGTGAGTAGTGAAATACCCTAAGT